CAGAGGGCAGAGGGAAACACGCCGTACCATGCCACGCCATGCGGGCGCTGGTTTTAGGGTTCTCGGGGACAGGGGAACAGCTGGGGGGGCAGGTGGCACAGCCTGGCTGCTCCCAGGGCTGGGCAAAGGGCTGGCTGCCATCCCCCAGCTCAGCGCCGCACCCAGAGCCCGGCCGCTCAAGGCCTGGCACGGAGCCCACTGGATATTTTTATCCCCGGCATCCGTGTTGTTTGAAGTTGTCCGCTTTTTTTTTTTTCCCCCCACAGCTCTCCCCTGTCCCACCCTGGCTTAGAGGTGACAGCAATAGCAACACACCCTCTGCTGCCACGATCTGAGCCCAGAAGGCATCGCCTGCCCTAAGAGGGCCCCGGGCGCGGGGTCCCAGCAGCTCCCATACAGCCTGGGAGAAGGTACAACCTCCCGAGGACGCCTGGCAGCGCGCGGGGGCCAGGCCACGCTGCCCAGACCCCCTGTTCTGGGAAGAGCTGCACCGGCCATCTCTGCCCCCCTCCCAGGCCTGCTGCCCCGGCAGGAACGTCCCAGGGGCTGAGGGCAGGACGTTCCAGTAAATGCAATGGGTTTTAAGCTCTGGGATCTCCCCATCTTTATCCCACAGTTGCCAGCTGCCCAAAGACAGGGAGAGCTCAACTCCCAACGCAGCTTCCCAGGCCGCTTGTTTCGCGCTCAGAACAGTAAGTCTGCCTCTGGGTGCAAAAGAAGCCAAGCCTGGTGGCAAGTCTCATTTCTTAAAAAGAAGGGATTTTAAAACAATTCAAGTTTGGTAACTCCTCTCACCCTGGCTATAAATGAGGCCGAAACTCACCCTCGTGCAGAAATCAGGTTCAAAGTTCAGCCAATTTGTGCGGGCTACCGACAGCCCCATCCCCTCGGGGGGTGACAAAGGCAATTCAACTCCCTTTGCAGAGCTGTCACCGCAGAGCCCTGGACCAGGGCTGAATCCGGCTCCTGAAGCCCAGGGTGAGCTCGGAGCAGGATCCTGGAGGAACAGCTCCAGGCAGGGATTGGCCCAGGATGCGTTTGGTGACAGAAGTACCGGGTACTGCTCGGCCTGAGAGGACTGGTGCGTAGGCAAAGGAACTGGCTTGACTCAAACGGACTGGAGCAGTTTCTCAGCAGGCCGAAGGCAGCGAGTTGCTCTCTACCTTCAGTCCTTTGCTGGCCAGGAAGGCGTCCTGCTTGGGCTCGCGGCCCAGGAACTTCCTCAACATGTCAGAAGCATCCAGGGAACCACCGGGATGCAGGATGCAATTCCTGTAATCCATGCCCACCTGCAAGGAGAGAGACGCGGGTACACGTAGGACACCCG